CCCCAAAACCCCAAAACCCCAAAACCCCAAAACCCCGTTAATCCTAAAAAATATAACGATAAATTTATAAATAAGAAACCTTATGTCAACCCTAAGAAACCCTTCAGTAGTCTCAATCTCTCTATTCAGTACCATAAAGTAAGCCTTTTCTAAAGTCTTTAGGCCTAATAAATCAACTAACAAAGCACCTTCAAATATTAGCAAATAAAAGAGCCTCAATGCCCTGAATGAAAGAAAGCAACCGAAGAAAATCCATTAGGGATGCAGAAAAGATAATATGAAAACCAGATCCTAGCAAAGATAGCTCACTTTATTCCGGAGATTGCACTAAGGGATACATGAATGCCATCAAGGCGTTTAGTAAGAAGAAATGAAAAAGAGATATTAGCGAAAGAACCCTGAAGGCGAAGGAAAGACATGAAAGTAGAATTAAGAAAGCCAGACATTCTAAAAGTCCAATCACCCAGAGAACAAAAAGTCCGAACCCTGTTACCAATGGAAGAAAAACTCTAAATAAAAATTATTACCTAAACCGGTCTCAAAACAGCATTATCCGCCCTCACTCATCCAACACAGTAGACACCACTCTCTTGCATAATTCAGAAAATAGTAATAGGTCCTTCCTGTTACCATCAGCGGTTAAGTCCATAAGTAAAATTTTATTTGACCATTTAGTTGGCATCAAAGAAGAACTCAACCAGCCAAAGATAGAAGAAAATTCTAAAAATGATCTCTTCAGATCTAGAAAATTCTCCAGAGGAGCAAGCCACGAAGAGATTACTGAAGAGGAGTACAAAAAGTACTCCCTCAGTGATGATCATGATCTGCCAACTCAGACAATTAATCAAGACTCGAATCTTGATTTTGACGAACTCTTCCCAAGCCAAGAGCTTGAGGAGAAGAATATCTTCCCTCAAACTGGCAGGTTTGAAATCGATGCCCAAGATCACAGCGAGGAGAATTCCTCGTGAGAGAGCATCCCAGAGGAGTTTACCCACAGCTCAATGGTCCCTGATTCTCCGACGTTCAGTAAAGACGATACTATCAAAGTTGGCGAGGAAACAGAAGAAGTCAAAACAGAAGTTGAAGAAATCAACATTGAAAGTACAGAAGATATTGCTCTTAGTAATCCAGACTCTGATAGAGAAAAGATAAAATCCTTGATGAAGAACTGATGAGCTTCCCTAGCAGCTCACCAGGCTGATAACTTCCAGAATGACTCTCAGAAGTACTCCAGCTCTATATCTTTCAACAAGGACGGTAATCATGATGATTGACATTAAATTTAGATGATAGAATTCTAACAACAGCTGGAACGAAAATACAAACCCCTAAACCAGGATGCTTCAGGACGAACAAGACTCCTTCAAAATTTGATTCATGAAAGAAATTCCTGAGTCAGAAATCCCTAAAAAGTAGCAACAGTGGGAGGAAGTCTGTGAAAATAATAAATAATACACTTGCCACTGCTTCAGGAATGTCTTCTACAGAAGTAAGAAGAGAAAACCAGACATATGTCAGGTCTCTTGAAGGTTTCGTTGATAGCAATATTAAATGCATAAACAGTTTGGTTGAATATAAGCAGAAGACAAATGAAGACATTGTGAAGATAAACAACCTGATCCAATCTACACACTCAGATTTGAGCTTCCTCCAAAAGCGAAATTCCCAAATCAGAGTTGAGCTTGCAACCGCACAAGCAAATAGTCTGCTAATAAAATAACCAAAATCAAGATATGGTTCAGAAAATCGCCAAAATCACACAAAAAGTCAAATCTAAAGAACACGAATACCTAACAGAACTCACAGAAATAGAGCGAAATGCTGAAGAAAAACGAGATAAGGTGAGACATACCTTCAACAGCATCACCCATCTCCAAGAAAGAATCTCCAAAAAATCGAAAGAGGTCCATTCAAACATCAAAAACCTCGAATCCAAGTACATACAAGCTGAAAAGCGCCTGCAACGACTGCAGGAGAACTACAGAATCTCCAAGCAATATGAAGCCCAAAGATTGACAATCCTTCGTGAAAAACAGAAGGAGTTGAGCAATGCTATCTGAAAAGATAGCTACCAGCTCTTCTAATGGCTTTAGTTGACAATTCACATTTTTCAAAAAAAATAGAGGAAAATGGGGTTTTGGGGTTTTGGGGTTTTGGGG